CCCCCCCCATCTTTAGAGCACAAAATTCTCATCTGAGAGTTTCAGATTGTTACATGGCCTCAAGCAGGAGGTAATATTAATCTTTCTCAGAAGTGGCTTTCTTTTAGCCATGCAAAGAGGCTAAAGCACTTAAGAGATTGATGTCTGGAGAGTTTCTTCCATTTTAGACAAAGAGCCACACAGTAATGTGTTGTAAGTAGCAACTCTGTTGTAACTTCTCTGAAACTTGCCCTTTCGTCTTGCTCAGCCTTGGTATGGTGTGGGTTGAGCCATGTAGCTTTTTGGAGTTTCTAAACATTTAATGTTAATTAGGAAAATGCTAGTCAAAAACTCACTGAACTAGGCTCAGTTAATTTTAACTATTTTAAATAATATATTTAAAGATTGTAGATTGCGAAATGATTGTAGAAATGACTTTTAGCCATTTAAGCTACAGTTACAGATAAAGTCATGGACTTTGGAGTGATAGTTTCTTTGACTTCAAGGTACTTGAAAGAGAAAAACATTTGGAGAATATGCTGGACTTTATTTTGCTTAAAAGAGAAGGGACAGGATAGGCTGGTATTAACATTTGGAGCAAAAAGCTTTGGCCATTCTTCCATGAATCCTCGCAGTAAAACACACAGCTTCTACTTAGTACATCACATGGCAAAGAGAGCACAATTCAACACATACAACAGGGGACACAAGAGCTACCAACTTTATTACAGCTGTCATTTCATCACAGCATTTGTGCTGTAAAAGACATTACTCATTACTCTGTTTCTGTGCATTAGACACCACCAGGGGAAAGACAATCAGATCAATCACATTAAACTTTTTTTCTAAATAAAACCTGACTGTACGTTTCAAGAGGGGAAAAAGAAGGGCATATTGAACTGTCCCCCAGTTTTCAAAAATGCAGGCTGAACTGCTGAAATTGAAGTCCAGCCTCACCAAACATCTGAACTGGGTTACCATGTTTTTGGACAACCAAATCTATTGCTCACCCAGCCAATGTTGAGCTAGGTACGGTTTACTACCAACAAAATGGTGGGTCAAACAGAAAACAAGCGATTTATGGGTTTGAGGTATAAGAGAAGTCTAAATCTAGCAGGTAACAACTTGACCAAACAATCCTGACCAAAGTGGAGTTTTGCTTTTTGCACCACGCACCTATAGTGTTCCCTCCTACCTAGAGGAAGTATATAACAAAGTAAGGCACTTGGAGAAATAGAGATGGCCAAAGTATGACGATGCAGACCGACTTTAAAAAAGGGGGCTGAATGTTTTTTAAAAAATATTTGGGAATGTCATGGTGGCGAGTCAAGTTAGCCAAAGAAAGTCTAAATATTGTCTGTTCGTATTAGAACAAAAGCGCAAGCTTCTCTCCAGATGTGAGATATATATATATATATATATATATATACACACACATACATACATACACACACACATGCAAGGTTGTAAACAACCAAAAGACCATTATGAATGTGTTAAACTTCCTCCCAGGTTTTCCCTGATCAACTGTAAAGCTTTGAGTAAAACTCAATCATTATATAATGCGCAAAACCTTCCACATTAGGTGATGGATAGACTAAATGTACTCCTAGTAAAGCTTGGGCATTTGTTTTTGGCACCCTCTTGACTGCCAACATTTTCTATTTCATCGTTCCGGTAAATAAAAGGGAAAGAAATCCTCATGAACAGCAGTTATGAACGGTGAATGGTCTTTGCCAGTGCTCTGGGTCCAAAGAACAGTGGCTTATTGTGCTCCAAATGGAAAAGGGGTAAGCTGCCTCAGTGAGTCCATCGAAAACAAATCTAATGACTTCATACTAGCCCGTAAATGTGTGGCAGCTGATCACATTTTACCATGCCAGTTCCAGACCCTTGAAGCATTTGGTGAGAAAATAAACTACAACAAACAAACAAAACGAGTCATATTTGTGCCTGTCTTCAGTAGAAATTGTGCAGAATGCCAAGCATTGGTCCCTTTATTCTCCTGAAAGAAAGGGAGATATTCCAACTGAATTTAGTCACATCTATACAAAAGAACAAGTTGAAGTGCTTCAGATCAGGTCTTTTAGGACATGACCTTCTTACCGGTAAGGGTTAATTAAGCTCGCCTGCTTTGTGAGCAGCCTCCTCTTCATCAGGGTTCATGGTGTGAAACTCCGCCACATACAGGTTCTTGTCAATGCTGCTGGGTATGGGCTTTATGTCAGTCATCAGCTGGTCCTCAGTGCCCTTTAGGTTGAAACGATCTTCTGAGGTGATCAGGTTAATGGCCAATCCCAGGTGACCGTACCTACCTGAGAACATAGAGAAAACACTGAAATAAACTACATGTAGACCCAATCACAATAATTAACATGAACAAATGTAATAAAAAAATAAAAAAAACACCGCCACAAATGATGAAAGAAAAACCATACAACAAATAACCAGTCCAATCCACAGCTGAGGATTACCTGATCGACCAATGCGGTGCAGATATGTCTCTGCATTTCTGGGGAAGTCAAAGTTGATGACTACATTGACAGCCTGGATGTCAATTCCTCTTGTGAAAAGATCTGAGACAGGAAAGATCCCATGGAAAATGTTAAAAACATATTTGGGGAAATATCCTGACAAGACATCTACGAATGTGGCTATCCGTACCTGTGCAGACCAGGTTCCTACACAGTCCGTTTCTGAAGTCATGGAACACACGATTTCTGTATTCCTGTGTTAATACAAAAATAATTTAGAAAAACAAAAATCACAGCATACACCAAGAACAACATAAGAACATGTAGTACTGTTCATAAATTGGGGTCTGTATGACTTTAAGTTGCTTATGCTCAACAAGGCTGAATTTATAAAAATACAGTAAAAACAGTAATATTGAGATATATTACAATTGAAAATAACTTGTATATTTTCATTTATTATAATACTTTATTTCTGTAATGGCAAAGCTGAATTTTCAGCAGCCAGTCTTTAGTGTCACGTGATCCTTCAGAAATCACTCAAATATGCTGATTTGGTGCTCAAGAAATATTTCTTATTAATATCAATGTTGAAAATAAGTTGTGCTGCTTAGTATTTTTGTAAAAACAGTGACATTTCTTCAGGATTCTCTACATAAATTCAAAAGAACAACATTTATTTGAAATGGAAATCTTTTGTAACATTTAAAATATCTTTACGGTCACTTTTGACCAACTTAATGTCCCCTTTCCAAATTAATCTCTTTAAAAAAGAAAAAGAAAAAGAAAAAAAGAAAGAAAACAATAGTGTTTCCTCTTGAAAAAAGGTTTAACGCATTTTGAAGCTGACCTGCATCATCTTGGCATGGATGTAAAAGCAGGAATAGCCTAGTTGTGTGATCTTCTTGGCAAGGAGTTCCACCCTTTGGGTGGAGTTACAGAAGATGATTGACTGGTTGATTTGAAGCTAGGAAAGAAAAAGATAAACAAATAGAAGGAGACAAAATAATTTTTTTTCCTAGAAGGTGAGGAAATGGAGTACCAAAAGACTAAGACAACAGTTACTCAACTGTAGTATGCTAAAGCAGATTTGGAATACTACAAATGGAGAACTTGCAAAACACCAGTCAAATTTAGAGCGGATCTGTAAAGGGAATGGTCACTTACTCTGGAGAACAGTGTGTTGAGACAGTGCACTTTCTGTCTTTCTGTAACATAAGCATAGTACTGAGTGATGCCTTTCAGTGTCAGCTCATCCATCAGATTGATTTCATATGGCTTCTGAAGGTGTTTGGACTACACAACAGGAGAGAGTCATTAGCATGATTAAACAAGACATCTAAATATGAGAAATAATCTCGGATATAGTAAGACATTTAACTTCAAAAAGATTAGACTGATTATAAAAACTGAGGAGTTATTACAACAAGTACATCTCTCACCATAAACTTCTGCACACTGCTGGGGAAAGTGGCAGAATAGAGCAGAATCTGGCGTTTTTTGGGCATGAAGCTGATGATGTCCTCAATGAGCACCACAAAGTCTTGAGAAAGCAACTTA